ATGTGTGTATTTATGTACGTATGTATGTACGTATGTGTGTATGTATGTATGCATGCGTGGATGTATGTATGCATGGATGTATGTATGTATTAATGTATGTAATGTATGTAGTGTATGTAATGTATTGTATTTTACAATGTACTGTAATGTAGTTTAATGTAATGTATGTATGTATGTACGTACGTATGTATTAATGTAATGTAATGTAGTGTAATGTAATGTAATTTAATGTAATGTAATGTATGTATGTATGTATTAATGCAGTGTATGTATGTATGTATGTCATGTCATGTCATGTCATGTAATGTAAGTTTTTTTTCTATGGATGCATGTATATTTGTATTAATGTACTGTAATGTAAGGTATGTTTGTATGTATGTATGTGTGTATATATGTAGGTATGTGTGTCTATATATGTTTGCATGTATGTATGTATGTATGTGTGTATGTATGCTATGTATTGTGATGTAATGTAAGGTAATGTAATGTATTGTATGTTGTCAAATGTAATGTATGTATGTATGTATGCATGTATTTGAGTTATGTTATGTGATGTTAGTATGTTAGTATGTATGTATGCATGTATGTATGTATGTATATCTTTGTATATCTTTGTATATATCTATGTTCATGTATGTATATGTATATGTATATGTTTGTTTATGTGTATGTGTATGTGTGTGTATGTATGTATGTGTGTATTTATGCGATTTATGTATATATTAATGTAATGTATGCATGTATGTAATGTAATGTAAATGTAAGTATGTATGTATGTGTGTATGAATGTATCTTGGTGTAATGTAATGTATGTATGTATGTATGTATTTATGTTATGTTATTTCATGTTAGTATTTATGTATGTATGTATGTTTGTATGTATGTATATCTTTGAATATATGTATGCTCATGTATGTATATGTATGTATATGCATGTAAATGTATGTATATGTATATGTTTCTGTATGTTTATATGTACGTGTATGTGTATATGTATGTGTATGTGTGTGTATGTATGTATGTATGTATGTATGTATGTATGTATGTATGTATGT